TTGCGTCTTTCATTACTTTTTATTTGATCTTTCTTTTTATAATTAAAATGGATACTATAATCAAACGAATGCCATAAATTTGATCAAAGGCTTCTATAAACGGAAAAGAAATCTTATTTTGGAAAGAGAGCTCATTGTGATATTATGCAATTAGATTTCATGTTAGTCGAACATCGAAATAGTTCCGGCTAGCAACAAGGAAGATCTAATAGCTGCGATTAGAAATCTAATTATATGCATTAGCTAAACCAAGACGAGGATATACGATTTTTGTCAAGATAATTCCGACGTCGGAGACATGGCCAAGAAAAGTAAATTGGCGGATTACAATTTTTGTTTTTCATATTAACGCGTGATTAATATTTAAAAAGAAACATCATTTTATCTCTGGCTATCTGGCCACCATGGCTGCAGATAACATTAAAGTGGCACACAGTATTAATCATTTAAACAAGTGTATCACTTGACAAGCGATTCAAATCATCGACTTTGCGTAATACCTAATACGAGATCAAAGTAGCGCGATAAAATAACGAATAGTTTATTGACATTGAATTCTTGTAATTCGTGATTTTCGCAATCCCGTCGAACGGGCAACGTGATTTCGCGATTCCGCGCAACTTCGTTTCCTCAACGTCGGTGAAAGCTAAAGTACCTGAAACAGAATTTCGTGTTCGTCATAGCGAAGTGTAATAGAAGTTCTTGAAACTATTGAAGATGATTGATGAAATTTTTTATCAAAACACATATCAAATTCTCATTAATAATGCCTTTCTTGCGGAAATATTGTATATTGATTTAAGATTGAGTTAACTCAAAACACTTGAAAGAAAACTTCATTCAAGAAAACTTAAACATTCAATACTTTTCCTAAAAAAAAAAAAAAAATTTTTTTAACGTAGTGTGAAAAAGAATTAATAAGGAATTGTTTTTAACGATCGAGCTGGATCTTAGGTGCTAATAGTAATTCCGTGTGAATTTATATATTACGTATAGTCTTTTAAACCACACGCCGAACAATTTTTCGGTTTTGAAACGCCACTCTACGAAAATACCGCAATAATATCACGAGATAAAGACGTTTTTTAAACGTCGTTCCTACTTACAATGATTATTGCGAAGAATATTACTAAGGCCTTGTTAGTCTAACTGGTATTAGAATGCTCGCACGAAATGTAAGAGATGTAAGTTTGACTACCGGCCGAGGTATTTATAATATTTTTCGCAATATAAATTTATTATTTACTTAGATTAAATTTATTATTTAATTAGATTTTCATTCATAGATTTTAATATGTCGCGTTGTTCAACATTATTAAGATCCAAGATGCTATGAGCATCAAAATTGTTAAACTGCTAATTTAACTCGTGATATTATTGCGGTAGTTTTGTACAGTGATGTTTCAAGACTAAAAAATTGTTCAGCGCGCGGTTTAAAAAATTACATACGTAATATATAAATTCACACGGAATTATTATTAACACCTAAGATCCAGCACGACTGTTAAAAGCAATTTCTTATCAGTTGTGTTTCTTACATGTACGGTCCTATAAGATTTAATATTTAAATATTAAAAATGAATTGTAATATAATATCGAACATACGTTTTTTCAAGAAAATTTTTATTTTTATTTTAAATATGTTTCTAAATTTTAGATAAAATGCATTTTTTTCGCAAAATTATAAAGAACTGTAAGAAGATTACATGAAGTACCTGTTTATTTCAAAATAAAAAATTAAAATAAATAACAAAATTGACTCATACGGGTTTTGTAAACAAAAAATGTAACAAAATGCATTAAAGATGAATTCTTTCGTTAAGAATTCTAAAAATGATCCGTCACAGCTTCTTAGTCATCGTCAGTTGTAATTTAAATGGTATCGAGAATGTAAATTGTATATAAATGAAATGTATACGACGTCGATTTTTCGGTATTTTTTATTTTTGTCACGAACGTTTATAGACAATACGAAGGCAATGACGATTGTGTTGCCGCGTTTGATTGCCTTTGATCGAGATTTGTTACAAATGATCCACGTATGATGTGTAAACCAATTATATTTTCTCTTCTATGTTGTGGCTTTGCAAAACTCTATTTACCAACATGACACTCTTATTTTTGCTGAGAATACTTCCGTGAAATAAAAATAATGAATTGAAATAAACCGATTGTATTTTAACGCTTAATTTATTTCGTTTATATTAAATAAAAGCGTGCACATCAGGTATGACGATGATGCACTTGTTCTGCGTTGTATAAATCGGTAGATGTTGCTTTCCTGATGCGATTACGTCAGATATTCAAATTCGACGTAATTATGTTCATCAAAGAATAGAAAAAAACTACGTATGGGAATATCGTGGAAGGCAGCAAAGATTCCACTTCTAATGAATCTGCACGAAACGTCAGTGAATTAATAGAAGAAGCGACAGAAATCCGTTTTGTAAATTTAGAGATTCCTTTGAAATCGAGGACTTCTGAATTTCCTTTCAAAACATTCTTACTTATTTTTATTTTAATCGAACGACTTGACAATATGAACAAGCCAAGATTTTTAAAGCTTATTCTTATAACTCTCGAAAGTGATCGTTGAACTTCATAGAGTAGAGATGAATACCTTTCCGGCATATTTCAATTCATTCTTTTTTTTCACGGTAATATCCTGGCTCAGCGAAAAAAGAAGTGACATGTGGTTGACGTAATGGCATTTTGCAAGGCTACAACGCAGAAAAGAAAATATTAAATAATTTGAAACAGAAAAGCAATGAGGCGAGCAACTGAAATAAGCAGGAAATATTTGTACCGATTAAACTGAAAACACTTGCGATTTTGGAAATAACAAAATGATTTACGGTTTAGATAACACGCATCAATACTATTATTTTAGGTCGTTTCGGTATCTTTTGGCATTACCCAACGTTTTTAAAAAGAAAAAAAAACGATAAAAGAAATAGAAAATTAAAATATTTCACATTACTATTTATGAATTATTCATATATATTGCATATTAATATAGATCATAATAATTTAACTTGAATTTATTTTTAATTAACAATTTGAATACGCATGAGTATGTGTGTAGTGCGCAAAAAATATATAAGAGTTATTTTTCATAATTTCTGAACGCAAAAGTTATGTAAAAATAATACGAGGGAGTTGTAAAAATAATCTTTGTTCGGTTATCTTCTACACATTGCGTAGTAAATACAACGCATTGATAAGCGATATATCTTAATTAAACACACGCCCCTTGTCGTGCAATTAGATGTGTTGTTCCCGGTTTGCGGAGCATAAAATCCCTTTTATAATACGAGATTTTGCGAAAACACGACGGGAGTTTCCCTTCACTGGGGAATTCTCGCGGAAGAATAGATAACGTGGAGAATCCATGAAATAATTGTATGAGATACGACGGCATCATCCGGCATTCCGGTCGATTATTCGATTGTCGTTAACTCCATTCCGGACTGCGGACTAGAATGCTCTCTGTCGAGTTCTCTCATCTTCCCTCTCCCTCTCTTTTCCCTGATTGCGTGTCGCATGCGTCATGTACGTAATTGGGGTGAAAACGCAAATTCATCCTTTCGAATTAAGTGTCATTTTGGATAACTTTGATTAATATTAATCGATTGTCCTTAAATTGTTAACTGAGAATTCGTATAATTTGCAACAAGCTTGCGTTAAGGGCCGGAATCACGGTGGAAGTCAGAGATAAATTTTTCTTGTTCCAAATTACGGCTAAAACATAAAAAAAAATCCGTACGTCTTTCTCTAGAGAATGCAATTATGAAGCTACAGTTGAAATTTCAAGTACGTCGGTCAAGATTTGTGGGAGTTATGTTTCCGGCCAGCTTGAAAAAAGTGATTTCGAGAGAAATGTGTTTAAAGTTTCATGCAACAATCAGCGATAGAAATGTTTACCTTTAATCTGCGATGCCTGCATCATAGAATAGGACTTCCTCGTTGATGTTCTTTTCCTCCTGATCCTTCTTGGCTGATTTTAGAGATAATCGAGTTGCACGTAATTAATTCCTTTATTATTCTCAGAAGGACTCTTCGCAAAAGCTATAAAATCTTACTGAAAAGTATAACGCTTTAAACTACCAAAAATGACACTGAGGAATTTTACTTCTAAGATCTTTTGTACCATATTTCTAAAAATTTAAAAAATTTTTTGAAAATTCTAGATTGGCTTTTATACTCCTTAAGGATCAAAATTCGGTTCTGTAGCAGGCTTCGTAAAACACTAGCCAAAATAAGTTTCATGACAAAATATTTCTTCTGTAAGACAGATATATGTATCTACTCCGCAAATGAGGTGTAAATGAGTTTTCTCATTACTCCTGCCGACCCTTTAATCATCGAGTAAAATTAATCGATGTCGGTCGAAAGTCCTCCGCTGCTTTTCCCCACCACAAGATAATCCTGAACGGCGCCCGACGGAATCCTCTGATGCTTCATTCCTCGTTCGTGCATTCCACCCGGCTCGGTGCCTCGCAGTGATCCCTTCTGCTGGTACCTCTTTAAAGTCACCGGCACGTCTTCGGCGTCGCTACTCCGCGTCCGGCATCGTCGCAGATCAGATCAACCGGTGGTCCATCCGTGTCCCGTCTACGCCCAAGTGTATCCTCTTTTACTATCGCGGAAAACTATAAACAGTTGTAAAATTATCTCAACAATCGTTATCGGGGATTGCAAGCAAGATATTTCTTGTGAGTGTATTGATTTATGGTGAATCTTGACACAACTCATATCTCTAGACACGTCAGTTAACAATCTGACATCGATACATATCTCATTCATCAGACATCATTTACAGCGGTTCGACCAATTACATCGATTATACGTGACATTTCACAATGACATTCGTTCTCCGTTGATGTGATTACGGTCGATCAGCGTTTTGTGGTCAGTGTTCAGTTTCCATCAACGCATTCCTTGGATTAATTGACAGCCAGATCAGTGAAATACTCATCGTTAAAAACGACGCGATATTCATCTTTCTTGTTGGAAAGTCTGTGTTAAAACTTGAAAGATTTAATTTCCAGAAGAAGTTAAAACGGTAAGAAAAAAAAACGCGCCAATACAAGTAGTATACGAAACAATTTTTTTTCTATACCCATCTCAAATTTATGCGTATGGCGACTATATGTACGTCATTATAAAGAACAGTCCTTTATATTTCAAGTAGTTGTCCTTTAAATTTTTTTATTCTTCAAAGTCCAATTTTGTTTTTTATTTTAATAATATTACGAGAAATTCTTTTCTAATTAGCATTTTAATGTCTAATGTATATTAAATAATTAATAAGCGAATTTTTATGGAAATAACTGACTTTTTTTATGTAAGTGCAATATTAGTCCAAATAGAACAACAAAATCACAATATAATTATAAAATTGATGTACAAAAATCGTGATTGATTAAAAAGTGATTTTTAATAATCAAATTTGCGCGCAGCTATTTTGACGACGTTTTGATGTTATGATGACTTGTGCTTTACTTGAGTTATCTTAGATATACTGTGCAAGAAAATTTGAAAAATTAATGCGCAGACTTCTGACAATCACAAACTAGTTTAGAAATAAAGATCTAAAATTTTCGGGTCCTTTATATTCTCTAAGAAAATATGACCGAATTCATGCATCGTATTGTGTTCACAAGTAATCAGATTAAAAGAAAAGAAATTACTTTATGAAGTTTTTTTGGAATCGGCTTTATAAGCGTTAAATTCTTTTTGTTTGAATATTTAATGACTTACATTTTCGTTGAAACAAATTAGAAATTAAATACAGAATGCTTTTTATTTCAAAATAAAAAATTATGAAAAAATTACATATTATTCTATATCGCATTTAAAAGGTAAAGTTCACTATCTATAGAATACACCAAAAGTTATTTCAATAAAAAATAATACTCTTTTATCTCTGTGCTCTAATAGAAATTTACGAAAATGTATTATACAATAGGGATAAAAATCTTAACCTTTTAATGAAAATAATTTAAGTATTTTTTAAAATGATTTTTGTAAAGATATATTGTGATGCAAAAATTAGTTGTTCTGTAAATGAACAAAATATTTATTTGTTAAATTTTTGAAATTAAGCAACAAATTACAATGAAACTTTATGTGAGTTATTCTGAATATTTAAAGTACTTATGCAAAGGTATCTAGATTTTTGTTATATTTAAAACTTCAATTTATAATAAAACTAATAACAAACAGAGTTAGCAAATAACTACAATTAAAAATATTTGTAAAAATGTTGTTTAATGAAAAAATAGAATATTATAAATACAACTTTCATATGTTTATAGTTTATATTTAAAGCATAAATTTAATGCGTGTGCTGTGTATGCATTTATCGTACCTTCTTGACTTATATTACCTTATTTGTACTCTTCTTAACTCGTTGTTAGAATGAAGATAAAATGCATTAAAGCGGCGATTAAGTGTCATTAGCATTCTATTATACTATAGTTACACAAACAAATATTTTTTACTTTAAATACCAGACAAGGTTTTTCTTATAAATGATTAAATGCTGAAAACGATGTTATAAGCTAAATTTTGTCAATACGTCAAGATCCAAAATATTTGTTATTTAATTAATGTGCCAAAAATGACTTTTCTGTAATATTTTACATTTTTTTAAAAAAAAGATTAATATTATCTTGAAATATTCTGGTTAGAAATCATGAATATATTGTATTCATCTCCCATAAAATGTATTCTTAAAAATGTTATTATATAATACATCTTATTTTTCCAAGATAGCAAATTTATAGCTATGACCATGAAGTTATACATACCTTTAATCTCAAGTGTGTTATCGGTATATGTATAACTTTTATCATATAATTTTATTTAAAACAATATATCTGAAATTTTTCTTTCAATTTTGTTTCTTTCAAAATATTCGAAATAGACCATTAAAATGAGGTAGTTTGTGGGCTTATGTACATATGTATATGTATGCGTGCGCGAGTGTGTGTAGTATATATGCATATAGACACAGGCATTTAGCGGAATTTATCGTAATAAATTATATTGTGTATCAATAACCACAAATTAGAAGTTATAATATGATTTCATCGTCATAAGCAGAAAATTTGTCATCTTAGAAAATTCTACATTTAAATCCTCCGTGGCTAAAAATAAAATATTAAAATAAAAAAAATGTATTTTATAGGGAATGAATAATATACATGTATACATTTATGACTTTTAATCAGGATTTCAACGTTAATCCTTTTTATTAAAAAATAACAAATATTGCAAGAAAAAAATGCCATTTTTGGCACATTAAACGTCAATTATTTCGAAATATGACATTAATGAATTTGACTCGTGGCATTGTTTTTAGCATTCAAAAATCGATAATATCAGTATCAAGCTGTTGTTCACCTTGATGAAATAAACTGTAATGTTCACGAAACGTTGGCATTTGAAGAAAATGGATATAGATATGAAAATAATTCGCAAAACACAGCTTCTATATATTGTAGAAAGTACCAGTGGAAGCCTCAAAAATCTGTAAGGAACAGTTTGTTTGATTCAAAGTAATAACATTTTTTTATAAATTATGCTGACGCTGTGTATGGAGAGCGTGTATGTGTATATTAAACAAAACCGACCTGTGTTTCGTATCGCATATTAAGTAACATACTTACGCGTGTTCTACTTACTGAATACGACTCATGAATCTTATTTCAGTTCTCCGTGCGCAGGTTTCCCTGAAATTTTATTAGAAAAGACTGAAGATAACTGTAGTAAAAGATTATACTACGCAAATTGAGCATCATATCTTCAGTTTCGATTTAATCATCATCATCATCATCATCATATCTTAAAATTGGTGTGTTACGTTTTTTTGAAGCCCCTTTTCAATGGGGTGATGTAATACTCCGATTTCGTTGAATTTTGGTGACATGGGGTTTTTGGGGTCGCTCTTTCAGAATTCGTGTTCAAAATTTGGAAAAACAATATGGCTGACTAAATATGGCGGATAGAAATCTTACGGAAATACTAAAGATTGCTCGATCTTCTCTGCTAATTTTCTTTGGTATTTTACTAATAATAAATGCAAAATCACAGTGAAAAATAAACGAAAACTAAGAATACAACGTCAGTTATAAACGTTTGTATACATACGAAGACCCTTCGACAAAGAAAGGAATTTACGGATTACAATAGGGCACGAAGCAGCTGCCAAGTAACCGGACCGTTCAGCTACTCGGCAGGTATACGAAATCGAGTCGGAGCAACGGACACTTAAAATTCCATATCTTCGTTAGTTTTGCTCCGATCGGCTTCCAATTTTCACACACTAATCTTGCGACATTGTACATTCAGATAAAAAAATAAAAAAAATGGTCAAAAAAGTTAAAATACCTTACCTCCCCCCTTATACGAACTTTTCCCGAAATCAGAAAATCTTTAGGATCTTTTAGATGGATTCCATCCATCATATTGATTCAACCATTTTGACTTTTCTAATTTTAAATCCGACTTTAAAAACACTACCACCTAAATCCCCTTATATTCCATCCGCAAGATTAGTCCAGCCATTTTGAATTTCACAATTTTTAACACGGATTCGAAACACCAAATTCTCTCTGAAACCAAATATCACCGCGATATTATTCAGGCATTTTGAATTTCCAAATTATAAACACGAATTCAAAACGAACGACCCCAAAAACTCCCTGTAACCAATTTTCATCAAAATTAAAGAATCTTTATGATTTCCGTAACATTTCCGTCTGAAGATAACTGTAGTAAAAGATCATACTACGCAAATTGAACATGTCATATCTTCAGTTTCGATTTAGTTAGTATAAAAAATAGATGACTTCTTTTTATTTTAATAAGGAACTGTAGAATTATCTAAAATCCTGAATCTTTCTAAAGTGGAAGGAAACACCGAATATTTTTTATCAATACATATATATCGAATACGGCAGAACTTAAAATAAATTCGTTCTCTCTTCCTAATCATAGAAATACATAAGCAACGAAAATTCATTCATGTAATAAAAACAGCGAGATTTTTATATAGTTTTTCCACTTTTCCTCGTACGAGGGAATTCCCCGTGTTTACGGGAACATCCGGTCGGTGAAATGCTAATGCAAAGATACGTGCAACGCCTTCTCATTGCATTTGATACCGTATAATAAGCTGGGTCGCCGCGTCAGCACTTAGAAGTTGTCACGTTTTTTTACCAGATTCGCATATGTGTACGGTATTTCCAATAATTATAACTTAATCATACGTGAGAGATTTTGGAAGTTATATTTACACCAAGGTTGCCTGAAGATCATTAATAACTTAATTATTAATGGCTAATGTGATTATTACGCGATTATTATTCGCAATATATTAATATTAATATATTAATAAATTGAGGATATTTATTCGATATGTAACTAGTAGTATAAATAATTTTAGTAGTAATATTTTCCGAGTATTAGGTAATTAAAATTAAGAATATCGATCCGTTATCTTCTATTCTGAATGATATTACGTAGATGAAGAACGTATAATCGCGAGTATAATCGTGTTATACAAATATGACGTTGCGACGCATAATTGACGACAAGCGTATTTACATGTCAGAGGCTGTTACGCAATTGCGTAATCATATATAAAAATCATCGACGATATCAGCTGTTTAAATGTGGATTAACAGGCAATCAAAGAGAGAGCGGAGGGAAAGACGGGGAAAAAACACCTGATGAATCTCCCTGAGGTGTGGAAATGTACCCATAGATCTTGATAAAGAATAATTAAGAAGCTTCTTAATTTCATAATGAGCAAACATTGTAAGAAAATTGTTTTTCTTACAATAATTTTATTCCCACAAATTGAATCTTCGACGAGATTTTTTCCCAGCGTTTTCAATGTCTGACTTGATTAAAAAATTCATATTATGATAATAAATAGATTATAAAAAACAGATTGAGACGAATTTCTTAGTGTTTTTTTCGGATAAGCAATCGATCGCTCACAATCGATCTCCTCGAACGTTTACCTTGAACGACATAAAAATCTCTCCCCCCGTCTCGGTAACTTTTGACTTTTTTTTATCTGCCAGAGGGTCACGCCGCACTGCACTTTCACTGCATTCGATACCTCGGTGCCTAGCACTGCCGCACATTTCAAAGGCCGTTACTTCTTCCCGCGGCGTTCTCGGGTTGTTCGCGTCGATTGCATGAGTCGAGTCTACTAACGAACGATCACCGTTAAATCGCGCCACTGAATCGGCACGAACGAGAAAGATCGGCGCAGTATGATCGCCGATTCCCACGTCCCGAGAGAGCTTTTCGCAACAATTTCCTTTCGCCTCTCTTCGAAAAAAAGATACATCGATCGTCGATACGTCGATCGATAGATCGGCATCATCGCGTGAACGCCGGACGGACTGGCTATTCGTGACGAAACGCATGAAAATCAAAATAATCGAACAGATTAAGATAACGGTTTCAGACTTACGAAGCAATAAATTAAAAGTAGCATATGTTTGCATGAATATTTTCATAAACTTATACATAATAAATTAATAAATGCTGCATGACGTGACGAAAAAGAGAGAGAAAGAGAAAGAGTTTATGCAAAGGCAACTCATCTTTCCTGAAACCTTCTTTTTTTTTTCTGCGTAACGAGGATAGCATGCCTGTGACATTGGGAGAACAAAGATAATAGAATATAGCCTATCCTTCAGTATTGTCGCGCAATCTCCCATATGAAAGCGCAGTCTTGTGTGTGTAAGTCTATGAGTTTTTCTCTTTCTTTTATTTTCCTTTCCAGCTATAACACTATGTCGTAATTCATCATTATCCGATCATCACAGGGTAAAGTGCCGTCCTTCACTGAGAAAAAAGTGTTTGACAGTTGTGACTATAATTAGATATGAAAATAATTATGATTAGAGAAGCTCCCTTTTTATGAAAAAATTGTACTACAAATTATAATTGAAAATAATAATATAGTAAAATAAAAAGATATAAAATTAATAAATAAAATAAACATTTTTATATATTCAATAAATACAATTACAGAGTGAATATAATTATTTTCTTAAATTCACTTATCGAATCTTACTATTTATTAATGGTAATGATAATCAAAAAATATATCAAGAAAATTAAAGATTTTCAAACAGTGTGTGTGACTATTATTAACAGCGCAATTGACTATATTTGCGTAATTAAAACAACTATATAACTATACATATATTTATCCTAAAAATGACTACAAATTATCTAATTAAATTATGATAATTATAACTTTTTTTCTCTGTATTTGCGATTTTCCTTATCCTTCAATCACAAACGAATATTATCTTTTTTTCTTTATCCAAAAAAAGATAGGTATCCCACAATCGTACACACACACTGAATAAGTTGATGTACACGTATGTAGAAATCTCTATGTATGCGCGTATCAGTTGTGTCGCTCCGTTGGTGGGCCCGTTTCCATCCACGGGCGTCTTATCGCGCGTCGACGTGACAATCGCGAAAAGATCGGAAGACGATATAACCGAATGGCACACCGTATATATACGACGGGTGGAAAAGACAGTGCGATTAGTAGTGCGTCAACTTTCATGATTATATACGGTGTCGCAAACGTGTGTCGCTTGCTGGACACTGCGCTTGGAAAAGAACAAGTTAATGTGTTACTATAAGGGGAAGAGCCAGTAAAAGACGTTTTTTAAAAGAGGTAGAAAGGACGAAGCGATTATTGATTTATTCAATGTACGATCTATTTGTAATCAGCTGTATAATGTTTTGTTATTAGTGAGATATTTTTGTGATGTAATTTTCTGTCACAATATATCTCTTGAAAAGCAATACAATAATATCTGTCATTTAAAAAAAAAATTGCCTTTGTGTGATAAGTCTAAAGTAATATAAAGTGCACATATACTTATTGACAACTTCTGAAAAAACAGTCCACTCAAGAAGTTAATTACAACATAATTACAAGGTATATTTTTTAAAAATTAGTCTTTATAATATATTGCAATATTTAAAAATGAAATATAACTTCTGCGCAAGATTTAATGTTGAAGTTTAAAGTTTCAGAAACTATAATCTTTCTGACAAATCTTTTATTTTATACAATCAGATACTTTTATTACTAAGGTTCTATGAAACCGTGCCCCGTTGAATTTTTCGACTGTATTGCATTGCTTTCTTACTCCGATATCGTTGCTATCTATAATTTTTTAAAAATCAAGATCCATATTTTAAATATATTTTTATCATTCTAAATATATGTATTTCCATCGGATTGAAAAAAATTATATAATTCATTTTGGACAAGCCGAGATAATAAAGCTATTTCGATTGCTAATTAACGTAACAAAATAAGATTATATATATATATATATATATATATAATATATAATCAAGAATTAACGAGATAACATTCATTGCTTTCTTTTAAGATATATGATATATCAAAGATAAGAGAAAGTACCGCGAGAATTAAATTTTCTTAAAAAGTTCTTTTGCACACGTTTATCTCTCTGAAAGTGAAACCATGGGAGTTTAATTATATTCGAATTAACCCATTAAAGCCCATAACTTGAGAGAATCAGTAAGGTTAGCAAAAGAACAATAATTAGAAATGGAACCCGAGCATAAAAATTACACGTATCTGATATATAATTAAAATTACATTAAATAACAATTTTGCAATTAATTGTTATAATTCCTGCTATAAGCACGAACGAGTTTTAATAATTCGTAATATTTATTGTTTTTTCTTGCATAAACGGGGAACAATTTTAAAAAAAGTTATGCGCGAAATTCTTTTGTAATTCTTTAGTATAATTGATTAATGCAATCAATTTCCCTCTATAATCAATATTTAATAATTTGTTCATAACATTTAGTTGCAAATTTAGTTTTCCAGTTCTATTTTAAATGTTTTTTTATTAATCTTGCAATGGAGCTCAATAAATTAATATACAGAATCATTTTTAAAGAAAATAATAAAATAACGAGAAAAGATAAAGAAATATATATATTTTTAAACTTACGATTCTTAGGCGAAAAATTCTTGTAAAATGTTATGTCCAAAAATTACAATTATAGTACTTTTCATTCGAAATGATTTCCTCTAAACGTAATGAATTAGGATATGCCCTTCGTATGTAACATGTGATAGGTAGAAATTATTTTTATTTTTGTCAAATAATGTTTATCAGAAACATTTATCGCGTAATAGATAATTATCCAATTAAAATTGTAAGTAATATATGAATTTACTATCAATATTGTACGGAAAAACTTAATTCGTAAGAGATTATGAGATCGCTTTGAGAAAGATAAATATAACAATAAAAGAGTTGAAGAAAGAGGAAACGAGGAAGAGAAGAATAGAGATATCAATTCTTTTTAAACTAAATGTACAGGGTGTCCGGAATTTAAATGTCAAAACGTCGAAAGCGTGTAGAGGATCGATAAGAAAAAAAATCTTGTGTTTTTGCTTCGTTTTTGGAGAAAAACGCAAAAAAGACAAAACGTAATTTTCGCTTTTGTACTTTTTTATTACTTATTCATATTGTATTCATTCACTTGTTTAATGTAGATATTGTTTAAAATGTTAGCCTCTTGCAGGAATGCAAACATATCATCAGTATGGACAGCTCGTGTTGCAGTCAAACACTGATCTGGTGATATTTACAGTGCACTGCAGCTTCGATTTGATTTCTCAATTGTTCTCTTGAGTTGATTTACAACGAATAAACTTCCTGCTTTAAGACCCGTCACACAAAAAAGTCCAGTGATGTCAGGCAATCGAGCTGACCAAAGACACTACTTCTTCATGTCCAAGAACGAAGCAACGTTTTGTCTTTTTTGCGATTTTTACCAAAACAAAGCAAAAACGAGTATATTTCTACAGGACTTTTTTCTTAGAGTTTATTGACCCTCTTTACACGCTCTCGAAGTTTTGACATTAAAATTTCGGATACTTTGTATATGACAATGAGAAACCAGAAAAGCTTAGATAAGCGGAAATTGTCTTGCGAGAAGCGAAAAGATAATGGTATTCTTAGTAAAGTTAATTATACTGACACAGAATTTCTGCGCAGTAATGAAATACCCTGAAGTCGTAAAAAGAGATAAAATATATTAAAAATAGTCGAGTCGACATTTAACTGCTGATTGTAACAAATATCCGCGAGAAATGTCCAGATGAAGCTGGGTTGTAAAAAGATTAGACACGTACCTTCGTACAAATTATATAGAACAAATTCTATAGAGAGTTGCATGTACCTTTATTAATACCAAAAACACGACCAAGTCAAAATATCGAATCGAAATTTCGAACGATCGATTAATTTTTATTCGTAGACAATCTGATATTCATGTTTTATTAATTCGCAGTCACGTATCTTTAATAATGAATTCGATTGTGCACTCAGTGCGTACTGATGTACATTAAAGCCATTGTACACAAATTGCCATAAAAATGTACTTCATATAAATATAAAAACAGATTAAACCATGAAATCCTCAATACATTGTGCTGTTAAAGAAGATCTGTTATTTTACAATTCAAAATATTTATATGTTTTATTTTGTATGTTTTATTTTTACATGGATTAAATTTCTGTTCATTATATACAACAACCTTAATATGGACTTGTACGCGTCCAACCAGATTTGTTATAAAATAATAGACAAAAAATTATATTTTTACATTTTTTCGGTTTATAAGATTAATTATAGATATTATTCCATTTACAGTAACAAAAAATCATCATGTCGCTAAATGCCTTGCTCTCGATGGTGGGACTAAATACATCATCTTTTGACGGTGAAGAGAAACATTCCTCGGAGGATACGGAAAGGGACGTATTAATCGCTAAGGCCGTTACCATGCTGGTTTTGTGTACTGTCAGCACGACTATGGGTATCGTACCGATGTTTCTGGCCAAGTGGTTAAAGTGGGACATGAACAATCGAAACTCCAGGTAAAGATATCATCTCAAGCAACGGTGCATAACTTTAATATAACCGTACAGATCATGACAAGAATATTTTTTTATCATAATAATTCTCAAAAGCATTATTTGACATTTTATTGTTTAATTGTTCAACTACTTATACTTCCATAAGTTTTTCTTTCCGCTACGTCGTCTTTTGTTAGAAACGCAGTGCTCTCTTCTGTATATATTCACTGGTATATAGGGCCTACAGTTTTTAACGCCGTCTATCAGAAAAGGTTGTGACAAAGATATTCTCGGTAACTTGATATTGCTCTCTAAAAGGTCCGATAAAGTCTGATATGTGTATTCTGAGTAGACTTGAACCCGGATCTTGGGCCACAATCGCTACCATTTCATGAATTATATGACAATAATCTTAACAATAACAAATTTTTAATGAGTTAAATTCAGAAATAAATATTTACGTTTGAATTCGCGAGTATCCGTATGAGCATGCGGCAAGGTATGGTCTACAAGTTTACTCCCGCCGTTTTCATATAGATAGTTTTATATCTGTAAAAACGGCGGGAGCAAACTTGTATTACTACATGGAAAGAGAAAATCGAGGAACAATTCAAAGCGATCGCTGTAATACTCAAGAGACTATGACAACGCAATCCTCAAATGACATAAGTGACATATATTGCGTCTCGCTAATATTGTTTTAAGACCGATGATGTAATACGGTCGAACGAGTTAAATCTGTACCGTTTTATCATGTGTAGATCGATGAAGACGGTGGGTATTCTACTTGGCTTTGGCGGAGGCGTTCTCTTCAGTACGACGTTTCTTCACTTGATACCAGAAGTCGAGGAAGGCGTACAGAACCTTATTGAGTCTAACAAGATACCCCAACTCAGCTTTTCACTGGCAGACATGCTTGCATGCTCCGGGTGAGTCAATCCTTTGACGTCATTACGTATAGATGCAAAATAAAAATCAACTTCTCTGAGATGGAATATCTATTGATGAACGAATGAGATATCTTGATTACAATAAGAGGCGAAGAACCATTCGTTACTCAATTTAAAATTGTTGATCTGATCATTGAATCACGATTTTTTATAAGGTAACCATTTGATTGTAATTCAAAATTATAATAACATATTAATTATTAATTAATCTATACATCTCTTTTTACTTGAGTATTGGTCTCGTTTTTAAGATTGTTATATTTTTTTATATTCTTTAATAATACCGAATTGAAATTTAAGTATCCCTGAAACGGCGTGCTTCAGAATTAAGGAATTACCGCGGACTTCTTTCGTAGCTTTTTCATCATGTACCTGGTAGAAGAGTCTGTGCATACATATCTCAGGAAGCGACAAATGATGAGACGAGATACCAGCAAGAAGGACGTAAATCTCAGCACGAACGAATTGGTGGAAAACGGTCAAATACAGCAGTGCGTTAGTAACGGTCACGCACATACGTAAGTCTGTTTACGCTGGCCTTTATCAATCGTTTTATATCATCGTTCTGCCGACGATACTTCGGCGGCGCGAAAAAACCGCGAGAAAACTTTATCGTTCTTTAATTTATAGGGGCCACAGCCATTTACCGGCGATAATGACTTCGGATGATGACTTCGTGATATCTTCGCTAAAAGGGTTATTAATAGTACTCGGCTTATCCGTCCACGAATTATTCGAGGGACTGGCGATCGGTTTAGAGAGCTCTGCCAATCATGTCTGGTAATTGCATCGCGAATGCGTCTTAATTCAAACCCTAATTCAAAGCTCGTCTGCGCTCGTGCTCTAAATTAACCGCTACAAAGGCGGATTGTCAAATCCCACGTACTGTAAACATAAATATTATTATCACAACGGCTCTGTGTCTGAAATTGTAATGAAAAAGAGTTTCAATAAATTTGAATCAATTCCAAGTAGAACACAGTTACAATTAAATCATAATAATATCATAGGACGTCTTCTTTTTTGACGTCAATTAATAGTTAAAAATAAACTTATAAGTGACAAATAAGATCATGATGATATCTTTATAATATTATTACGCATTATATTCTGTACTCTACTTGAGATTTTGTTTAGTATAATTTGAATCCAAGGATCAAATTTCATTAAATTTTCTAAAAATATCATTATTAATTATTAATTAAAGCTTAGCTTAATGGCTTTAATGTCGTAGTTTAGTTGATGATTAATAAATCTCACCTTGGTAACCGCGCTACATATTTAATACCGCCAGGTTAAACCGCTGTCGCAAAACGAAGAACAGCGGTATGACAAACGATACGACTCGTCCGTAGGTACATGTTCCTTGCCGTGGCATCCCATAAATTCGTCATTGCCTTCTGCATCGGAGTAGAACTGATCGCGTCTAGAACCAGGCCGTACCTGTCCGTGATTTACACATGTACATTCGCCGTGGTGTCACCGCTGGGGATTGGCATCGGGATGGCTCTCGTCGGCGGCGGAAGCGCGGCCACGAGTGGACCAATGGCAGTGATATTGCAGGCAAGTTTCTCCATCTCTTTTGGGGGAGATATACCGGTTTCACGAAATAAAAAATTTCGATGAGATAATCGATGACGGTAATACGCGTGTCGAAGAAGCTCTTCATATTCAAAGAATCGGGATTCTGCGTAATCTGTGAACTGGTCGAGCAGCAAACACACGCGATAGGTAAATAGAAAAAAAAATACTCTTATCGTTTCTTTTTCCTCATTCAGGGATTAGCATCGGGAACTCTGCTGTTCGTGGTGTTCTTCGAGATCTTGCAAGAGCATCGCACCGGGCTCAAACAATACTTCTCGATCCTCTTCGGTTTCCTCGTGATGTTCTGCTTGCAGATGTTGAGTAAGTATAAACGATTTTATTTTGTGCTAACGCACAGTGATATTTTTGTATCCCTCGTTGATAGCAAGCGCATAGAAATTGAAGTATATATAGCGCTATATAAGTAAACGTTCAATCTCTACGCTCTGTTAAACACGTTCTTCGTATCTAATAAATGTAAGAACTGAGAATTTTAATAGATAAGACTATTGCGTTCATGCTTACTTACGTATTGATTTGTCTGTATTGCAACTAAACTTGCACAATCTTTCTTCAAACGTATCAAATACTTAAAAAAAATCAAAGTACAACAGTACGATAAATAAAATGATATTGAATAAGAATAGTTCACAAAAATAATACATGATAAAACACTAAATCAGTGATTGCGTGTAATTAATGTCCAGTTTAGTTTTCGAGTCCCTAGTTGAAGTAATTTTCAATAAATGCGAATATTTAGACAATATCTCCTCTCTCTTCTCTCCTCCTCAAGCAAAATCTATACATAAATCTTAAGTATTAAAAAATACGTTTTAATTAGATAAAGACACATAAATCAGAAAAAACAAAGAAATATTTTGTGAACAAAATTCGAAAATACATCGAACGAGGATGATGCTTCAAGCATATATCCGAGGTCGAAGATTATCGACACAGCTGACACTTATCGATTCTTACAATTAATGAATAATTATTGTCGCTGGACAACCCAGCCAACTTATCACGGTGTATAAATGCGTTTGCAGTTTTATTATAAAAGAGAGAGATTACGCTTTTATCGAAGCTAATATTCGAAATGACAACTTGCACTGCAAACTGTACATACTGTACTATAGGAGGTTACACCGGGGGGGAGAACGGGATGTGAGGGGGAGAAAGAGAATGTGGCACAAAATGCAAAGGACATCCTGCCTGATGATTCACACGGCACAATTCCCGTAACGTTTGATTTTGCTCGTTGTTAAAATTTCTTCCACGTGCTATTTGATGATAACCAAAAAAGTATTCAACACGAAAAAGCTTTCAGTTTACAGTGTTTACCTGTTTATGAGTCATGCAAATACTTTTTTACTAACTTGTTATTTTTCATACTTCATATGACTTATCGCTCAACGATCGCATGAAAAATAAAAAAAAAAAATCTAAACTATCGCATAAGAAAGAAATAAACGGCGCAATTATGAATTGCTATATTTCGTTATCAACATAATTGAACAATGAAGAATGTCGCTATCGTCATCGATCTCGATATTATTAGATTAGACGACGTATTCCACGGCTACTTGAACTTCACGACTTCGGCGACGTTCAATGAAATGTCCACAACACGGTGGTGTTATCCTTTCGCTTTTCACACGAAAAGGGTGAAAGTATCATAGAGCCAATAAATAATCATGGAGGCGTGATCGTCTCGATGGTCCACATCGTTAAGTTCATGCCTTGAAAGTGCAGACTAGTACGATGCCGCCTTTACTTTAACATTTTCTCATCCGTATCACAACGCTATAGAAATAAACCTCTCTCGATTAAGAGAAATTAGTAGTTTCTATAAAATTACACCTCAAATCCCCTCTCTGTGACAGATCTACAGGATCGATTTTTCAAGAATTACCAGAATATTCTTACACCCCCATTCCTTTACTTAGTCTCCTCGTGTTCTCATTATACCGGTACTACTCAAGGAGATTCATTTATCTTGCGGTCTAATTCGCGGTGCGAATGTTATTTATGACGTTGTGGGCGCGAACGTGGAACAGCCTGCGTCTGCACGCGTGTCCCTGCTCCGAGTGTCGCCAACGAACTTCTCTCATTCACGCGTGCACGTGTGTACACACTGTACACGCGCCCACGCACGAATGCGTCTACCGCCCGCGCGAAGGAGGGAAAATATGTTATGCGTTGCTCTTCGTCGGACACAGTTACAACGATGTAACAATGTCGAGCGCGCCCAACAATGCCGTAAAGATAAAATGGAAATTCAGCATCTTTTATCTTTTCTCCCTTCCCTTCTTTGATCTCTTTCGCCTTTTCTTTTCTCGCTTAAATTCTTCCTTTTCTATTGTTTTTTCTCTCCATTTTTACCTTCTCTCCTGACCTTCTTTCCTCTTTTTTTTTTTCATTTTTTTTTCCTCTTCATTTTACTTCCGTTTGTATGCGTTTCCATTCTCTTTTTTTTTCCCCATCGACCTCGCGTGCATTTCGATGAGAAGAAAGAGAGCAACTCCGCGCGGGACCGACGGTCTTTACGCCACTGAATGAGGGACGATCAGTCGTGGTGCAGGTGCCAGAAAGAGTATGCATGCTGGCGAGTGATCGTTAGACAAGGACGAGCGCAGCGGTCGCGGGAGTGGGCAGGAAACGGTTCGGTTCGGACTATGTAAGACGACGAGGCGGCGGCCGAGGGGTCCGATCGAGTCGAGTTTCCATCGAGACCGGAGTAGTGTCCGATCGGCCGTCGCGGCGCGTGGAGCTTTCCGCCGTTCGCGATCTGTTCGCTTCGTCCAAGATCGTAGGGTACAATTAATCAGCGAAGAACCTGGTACAATCAGAAGCTTCGTCCATAGGCTAGACCACCGTGAACGTCTCGATTGTCCGCGCGAAAGAGCCTTCGTGAATTGGAGAACGGGACATCCTCGAGAAAAAGTGCAAGATTGAGATGAATCCCGTGGTCGGCAGAAACGCGCGATTGAGAGAGGTAGTGAAGTGGTGACGCGAGGTAAACTCTACCGCGACGTCGGTGTCTTGCGCGGATTTTACTCTCGATACTTTACTCGTGTGTGCTTGAGGCGATCGCTTCGGTGATCGGTCTTACCAGCATTATAAAATCCTAGAAAAAGAAGAAGAGAACAAGATAGGAGATCCTTTTCTTGTAATATCGTTATCGATATAGCAATTCAACGACATACGAAATGGAGAACACGGCGACGTCCAATGTTCTTCTGATGTCGAAGATCGGCGCGATGGTCGGTCTTGGCTTTGGTTCCCTCGCACTGGGAACGCTGCCGTTGATGGTAGGACGTTACAGGGCTAAGAAGCGACTTCGCCAGAAACGTCACCAGAAACGCCACCAGGCGATCTCTTTCAACCATTCTAGCACCTCCACGTCCACTTCAGCGTCCGATACTTCTTCGCCGAACGTCGATTCGGCCTCCGCGGCGAATAAACAAGTACGTCCGAAAAACAATCAGAAATCCTCGACACTCCCTGGCAGCATCTCCGGAAAGCTCGTCTTTGTGCCAATCATAATCAAATCGACTCGCTGCAGGCGTTACAAAGTTACATTCGAAAGAAAATAATGGATATAATCAAGGATATTCCATTGAATATCCTTGACATCTGTGAATTTCCTTGGATATTTATTAATTCTACCTGCACTGCATATAAATCGTTTTTTAATTCAGAGATTAATTCCCGAATATCGATTCTGTTTTATTGTATCTTCGTTAAGTGTACGGCTTATTCTGATTTCAAACTATATAATGCGTTAATACACGAATAATCTTAAATATATCTAGAAAGGCACAAAGTCGAGAAAATAATATTTGATCATATCAGAAAGAGGGAAGTTGTGTTTGCAAAAAAATATTTAATAATAATCGATTTAGCTCATTTGATCATATATTAATTGTAATATCCGGAGTAGCTGCTCATTAGGATGCTCGGTATTTTACAATTGGCTTTTTTATAGACTCTCTGGATTATTCGGAGATAGTTTTAAGATAAGTAAATTTTAAATGAACAATTGCACCTTCTCGCAAATATTACATATATAACATATTTTAAATAATAAAAAAGTTGATTTCAAAATGATGAAAGAGAGTCTACAGAAATTAATAATCCGAGTACCCTATTTAATAAATTCTAAAATGGATTCCAAAGCATCGCGGCATCGTCTTCAGGGTCTCTTGACGTCGCTCTTGCTCTGCTTCGGCGGCGGCGTGCTCCTGTTCACGACGTTCGTACACCTGGCACCGGAAGTTCGTGCTAGCGTAGAGACACATCAGTCGAATAAACAGCTGCCCGATTTGGGTTCTCTCGGTCTGGCTGAGTTGCTCTTCTGCGGTGGTTTCTTCCTCGTTTATCTGGTCGAGGAAGCCGTGCATGCCGCCCTTACCGGCAAACCCGAATCTTCGGAAGCGTTACTCTACCGGACAGTATCGGTGCGCAGATGCAACAACAATCAGACGGGTCCATCAAGTTCATCGGTGATGTCGAATGGCTCGATCACCACCGTATCCACGACGACCAAGTCCACCATGTGGAAAGACATCAATGATACCGAGGACAACAAGGATCGAGTAAACCGGCTGAAACTCCAGATCGATGATTCTCGCGACCAGACAGGCAAGGACGACAAAGTACTGCCGCCTATATTCGTCCTGCCTGTCGGGTTATCAAACGAAGAACATCAAGTTGTTCGGAGACATTCTGATCTAGAATTAGCAATGCCTGAACTAAATTATTCGATCAATCACAATTATTCTCATGATGATGATGAGGATGATCATCATCATCATCATCATCGTCATCATCACGGCGTGGTACAAAACACCTCGGTACAAGGACTATTGACTGTGCTCGCGTTGTCCTTTCACGCGATATTCGAGGGTCTAGCGGTAGGTTTGGAACCATCTATCAGTTCGGTTGCATATCTGGCTGCCGCTATCGCGACCCACAAATTGGTGATCTCCTTTTGCGTCGGAATGGAGCTCTACGTGGCCGGCGCGTCGACCAAGACCACCCTCGGTTACCTGTCAATCTTTTCCATGGTTACTCCGATTGGGATCGCCGTGGGACTCGTCCTTGATCATTTCAAGAACGACAGCGAGAATTTGGGGCCCACACCCACCATACTCCAAGGCATGGCGGCTGGTACCCTACTTTACGTGGTATTCTTCGAGGTGTTAGCACGGGAGAGGGCAAACGAGAAGAGCGGCTTGCTGCAGCTAGTTGCAATCATTATTGGCTTTACGCTGATGTTGGGTCTACAGATCGCCAGTGAGTTTGTTTCCCGGAAGACGAGGGAATCCCCCGCGTCACCAAAGTGCACCGAAGCGTATCACAAAACGCAACACACTGTTGATGCCGGATAAATGCATTATCGTCACTCTAACGATATCCTTCGGAATGGCGCTTACTGCGCGTTTCCGTTTTCCTTCTGCTTTTCGCGCGACCGATAAATTTCCGCGTGTCAAAACGGAAAATCGCACAGAAATTTATTACCGTATGGTGAAAGTTCATCCCGGGTTCCATTAGGATTCACCGGAAATCATCTTTTCCTCAACTTCCTCGATGCAAATTTGCGTACGAGCGCATTATTATTCATAGAGACCAGTTTTATCCAGAATAATTCAAACATTTTTCCTTCAAATTAGCGTATATTTTTCATATGCAAATTATCGATTCAAAATTTATCTTCGTTAGGTGAACATATCGATAAAGCAAATCACTCATCGCTACTTCTCTCAATTATAGATATTTAATATTCGTTTCACATACAATACAGAAGCTCGCAGCAACATTGCAACTTTTCAGCAATATTAAAGTAATATTGTAAACATTACAGTAATGTTGCTGCAAGCTCTTCTGCGATGTACGGGTTGCGATTAAAGTGTTTAGAATTGCCCGTCGTGATTGTTCCATCATGGATATTCGATATCCTCGCAATTAAAATGTTGAGACTCACACGTCTCGGTGTAAACCTATTACAGGTACGTCCTTGATATAATTCACGTGTTGGTTCTTCGGTACTTGTCTAATCTATTGATTTAAACTGACGAGCTACAACTGAAAAGTCAGGGTCAGGGTAAATTGGAGTAGGAGAAGCAGTGTTTCTCGTAGAAATTCTGGTGGCGTGCAATGCTCGTTGTTCTCGTTCGTTCAAAACTTGCCGCGAAAATAGATCTTATCTAGACGTTCTAGACGTTAGCCTATTAAAAATTGATATACGAATCAGGCAGATATGTATATACGTACATGCATATACAAGTGTACAGAATTGAATTATTTGTTAATCACAGAATGCCGGCCGATAACAGTTGTTTACTTCTGATAGTTCATGTCATTTTATCATGATTTTATTAATCTAGTAGAATACGGTTATGACTTTGATAAAATGACGGATTCGTAATGCCAGCAGAAGTAAAAAGTAATTCGTTCTAATCGTGAAATGTTTCTAATTCAAATTTTCTTTTTATTATTTCATTTCTTTTTTCATAACAAAGAGCATTTGCCTCCATTTAAAAAAATTAAACGTCGACTCCGTCGAGAATTTCTATGACGAGAGATTCTGTTTTTTCTACTTCAGTTTATTCTAATCCTGACTGTCCAGTTGTAAATGTTGTAATTAGATGCTTATTTATAGCATCTAATATTTTAGACATAAGATAATAAGCATGTAAACATTATTTACAACCGAATAATCGCAGAGTCACGTTAAAGTAGGAGGAACAAAGTTTCTAGTCATATGAATTTTAACTTAGAAGCACATTCCATCAATTCGAACATTTCCAACGAATTTGAAAACTTTTATAATATCGTGATCGATATTACTTGCACGCGTCCCATATATCATTATTATTTTGTATTCAATAGCAGATTACACGAGTGTCATTTCGCTGAGAAAGTACCAACAGGTGGGAGAGATGGATCGTAATACCTCTGTAGATATGTCATCTGTTATGCAATCTTAATTGCATCTTGACCTTCTCGCAAGAGCGGAAGGTTCGCGAAATCAAGCGAGATCGTAAGTGCAATGTTCCGCTTCAATTCTAAAGCTGGATGACGCAAGAAACTAGACGCATTAACAAATCTTAATCTTGTGGAACAATATCATAAAAGTGCACAAATGAAAAAAAAAAATCTAAAACCCGTGTCGGACTAGATATTGAGGTTGAGATTGAAATTAACCAATCACGAAAAAGAAAACCGATCTTAAGTTTAGTAAAGATTGCTTTGGTCACATTTCAATCTCAGTCTCAATCTTTAGTCTAATACGGGTTTCAGGAGCATTAATACTATAATTTCTGTTAAAGTATGAAAAAATAACGTATATGAAGTATTTATTAATTCAGTCGATATTTTATAATGTTATACGTATAAGAAACAAAATATTATAATACGAAGAAATCAGATTATATGCTTTCTATCCATTAAATGGTTTATTGGAGCATCTATCCTACATAAAACACGAGCTTATTACTCTTACTCGTGTCTGTACGAAACATGAACTTTTACACAAGTCGCGTCGGCTGCTATACATGATTGGCAAATTGCATACGGAAACAACCCACTTCTTCCAAGGCACACTCGGGTTTCACGTGTAGTGCTGGAGTGACGTATGAGCACTGTCATGCTGACAACAGGCAGACGAATCTCGATCTCATAAGGGTTCTGGTTATAGTCCCAAGGCTTTCTCTCTCCACCCATGGCAATGACCCGGGACAGTTAGGTCGATGGACGATCCGACCGACTTTCGACGGCTTTCTCAACCGTTTGATGTATTTCGCGATGACAAAATTGCCGTTGAGTGTTTGAGTGCCGTTTGGAGAATTTCGTGTGTATATATATATATATATATATATACAGAAATTAATTACGGAGGGCTCGATGAGCGACGACAGTGGAAATGGATGATGCATAATCAGACGCGTGACATACACACGCTCAAGTTGTGATACAACTTTATCGCGAAATATAACATTTCAAGGGGACTTTTATAATTTATCGTTACTTTTATAATTTATCGTTACTGACATATTATTAGCTCAAATATTTAATAAAAACATCGAGATAAATAATTATTGAAATTGTCGATTATTATTGAACGACTTTCTTATATTCGATTCAACAAGATAACGGCTTAGATGACTTTAAATCGTCTTACAATCATTATCATTGATTAAATACTTTCCAATATTATAATTGAATCTAATAATGTTAAACATTATTGTGCTTTACGATAAACCATCCTTTCTCTTTAGCAATTATAACTAATAAAAACTAATCTTTTACTGTTACCACATCATCCTATTAAAACGTATTGAAATAAATTCAAATATAAATTCACAAAAATGTATTTCCACAAAATTAAATAATAACTCATTAAAAAAATCAAGATTTTTTAATTCGATTATTTCTTTATCTAATAATGTAAGTAATACAAACGGAGAGAGAGAGAGATAGAAACGGAAAAGAGCCTATCTCTTCTAACTTACGAACATTTTACGATTATTTGGGGGGAGTACACACATGAACGCATATAGTTCAGTTATTCTAATTAATCTTCAATTGGAGAAGTATAACTTCGCAGAATAAACAGCCAGTTCCTTTTACAGATCTCGTTATTGGTCCCCTCGCATAAAATCTCAAACATCTACGCTTTCTGTCTACAGCTGCTCATTCCCACTCACATGGTGGCAATGGCCACGGACACTCACACGGTGGCCATGGACACTCGCATGATTGCCATGGAAGTTCGCCCAACCATACGGAGATAGAAGAACAAGATGATCACGATCATGATCACAATCACAAGCACGACGTAGTCACAGGGGTGATCGACAAAGTGACCGACAGCATCGCCGAGGTCCTCACTAATGCCCTCACGTCCTCGACGACGCCGTTGACGATGGCACAGAGGAATAATGTAAACGAGACCAGCCCGTTGCATCCTCAGCGCAGTTAGGGAACCGATCTTTGGGTTCCCGTAAGTTCCAAGTTCCACGAATGAATTCTCACCGGCAAGAGATTTCAGCGCAACCAGATCTCTCGGGAAACTCGAAGATCTCGAGATGGCGATAATGCCTTTACTCAGGGGACTCTTTTCGCAATTTTTTTTATCATTTAGCAAAGACAATGAAATATTGAGGCAAGAAGAAAATCGGCGTCGGCCTGACTTTTTAATGTGTGAATCTACACATCGATTGGCTGGACCTGTTAATGTATGTGGTGCAAATAGGAAAACTTGCTATGTTCGATAAGACGGCCTTTCATTGCTGCATTGACTGGGAACGGCGTGATGGAATAAACTTTCTGGATTTCCGATCTTTCCGTTGATTTATCGCGACAAACATCCCGAAGAATTTTTCGCTCAAAGTAGCGATAAAAAAAATACGTTCATGCGCCGATATATTGTATCCGAGTTTATTTTTTTAGATGTGTAATAGAGAGTAAGTTAATACGTAGTGCATGATTATTTAAATGCCTTCAAGACTTATTGTTAGATACTCCGAAGTATCAAAAGTATTTATTGATGAAGGCATTCTCCAGAAGAGTCTAAATAATTCTTGATAATAATACAGAAAAAGGATGCTGAGCTTATTGCGAGAGTCGGTCTATCAATTTCCTAAATATTCAACGAATCCAAACAGGCGCATTTATAGTAAGAATTTTTAATAAATTATCATAGATATTTTTTACAACTGTGTCACATTTTTTATGTCTAATATCCTAAGAAATGACAATTTTTTGAGCAGATCTTTGAGGCTGTGTAATTTTCTAAATTTTACCTTTCCTTATATTTTTGTAAAAAAAAATTAATAGAACCTTAATTATTTTTACACTGAAAAAACTTGAGAGTATTTCAAGACTAGGGAGAGTTTATCCTCGCGACTCTCTGGAAAGTGATTGTAGTAAAAATAAATCGCTCGAAAAGCACACCTAAATATATGCTTTTCAAACGATTCTCCACGAGGTAAAAACGCTTTCGTAAACGTCATTTGGATTTCGCGTTGAGAGCGATTATTGTTGGAAAGCATGTCGTGTCATTATTGCGGTGCGCCGAAACAATAGCGGCTACGAACAAGACACGCGAAGAAGCACACTGCACCATGCAGCGATCGACCAACGTTTGCGGTTACATAGGGTGTCCTTGTTTTCTAAAGTCAAGGAAAAAGTAAAACTCTATTTGTTTAGCGTAGTTCGTAGAAAGTCATTCTTCATTTTCAATCGTTTGCTAAAACAGCATCACAATTTCTTTTATAAGTAGAAATTACTGATGAAAATAAATCAAATAAAAAAAAGATTGCTATTTTCCATCAAAGCGAATCTTAATGCTTATCTACGTTAATAATATTCATATACAAATTATTAAGGACCAAGATCTGCGTTGACCAAAAATAAAATTCTTTTATTTGCAAATATCTTTTTTTAAATCAAAAATTTATTCTTTGATGTAAAGTACCGACGTAAATAAAAGAATAAATTTATTGGACACCCCGTATATAGACCCTCCATAAAAAGCTCTCGTACGTCTACAACTCTCGACGGAGCGTCGTCTTAACAAGATAAATTATCGTATTTCTGCAGTTATAGGGACGTATCAAACGCAATGCGTTGCGCAGAATGAGACATCAAGATTCGAATCTCCGTCAATTAATCGCGTTTAATTTCACGATCAAAGAGCCATCCCAAGATTCACGTTGTGAACTTCTCACATTGAACACGCAATCTTGAAAGTATCGATACTTATGCAGTTTCGTTATTTATCTATCGCCATAAATAAGTTTCATTAATTCAAATTTTAATGACGATTTTCTCGCGTTATTTATTTTATTTACGAGCAACAAATATAGAGAATCGAACGATAGTGAGATTAACTCGTGCTTCGCACAAAGTATCGCGACGAGTCACTTTGCGTTCATTTGTATTGCTTTGAGACCCCCTTTTATCTGGTTCGATGCTCGCTATAATCGCGCAAGAGTGCATTAGCACGCGTAAATAAACGATAATAGGTTTCAAGAAACAGACGCGTTTCAGCAAAATAAGAAAATTCTAACAGAGTTTTTAACTTTGTTACATGCACCTTCAAGTTATTAAACCATTATGCGTCATTTGGACATTTTCTACACGCAGAAAAATATATATTGTATTTTTAAAAATTAATTACTTATGTTTCACAGTATTTTATCCGAATTATTTATTTATATAAATATATATTTATATATATCCGAAAATATCTAGCATAAGTTCATTACAAGCATCGAATTTATTCAAAATAAAATCTAAATAAGATTAATACTTCTCAATAAAGATAATTCAATTATAACAAATTTACTTAATATATTAAGTTACTTATACGATAAAACTTTATAATATTCTTCGAAAGGAAAAAGTGTTTGTCTTGAGTGCATAAGTTCTTTTAAGTTTTGCAGTAAAATATATTTTAAATTTTGTGAATTATGTTGTAAAATTACCATCTTAAAAATAACTGTCACTTAAAAAAAAAAGGAAATTAACTCTTTACTTTTTTTTAAGCAGATTATTTTTCTGTCTGTACGTAAAACAATTTGCGCATGAAGCGATAAATTTTAACCTTTCAAGGTTAATGTGGATGGTGTTTTTTGTCTTATTGACCATGTTGCTATTGTTAGTACTAAACTTTTATAGCACGTAATATAACCTATCAAATTTTTAATATTAGCATGTATGCAGTTATTATTAGTTAAAAAAAAATTAGAATAGCAAAATAGACGTCGATGGATTTCAGGCAGGTGAGGAGATTGCTCGTATGTTTTCATTTCTTTTTTTTCTATCGTGTCACAATTCGTATATTCATATATTTATAGTGACAGTTATCTACATATGATGATTGCATTTTTATGCAGCTTACAAAACACGTTATCGACAAACATACGCTCATACTTCCCGGTTTCCATAAACACGCCGAGATTACGAGGATCTCGTTAGAGTTCCCAAAGTGCGTGCAATACATCTTAAGGAACAATTTATAAAATGCCGTTTACCGTGTCGGCGATGCGTGAATGAGCGAAGAGAAAAGCGCACGACTGTTTAAGAACACTTCGCTACTAGATAAAGCCAACTTCAACGCTAGAATCGCCGATATCACATTTTTGTGCGATACGACAATTCATATTTTTGGAATCAATAAGACAAGTGCTTTCCATTTAATGAAACAAGTCGACACGAACATTATTCTATCTTTCTTGATATTCGATACTAATAAAGACAGAACGACACTTGTGTCGATTTAAGCTATCCAATGGAAAGCACTCGAGTATCCATTCGTATCTTTTCTATCTTTTCTATCTTTTTTAGTTTCGAGAAAAAAAAAATAACGCGCGTATATAAAACTCGCGATAGAAAAAATATTACTTACACATAATTTGCACCCGAAAAAATTTCAGGAATCCGATGAATCAAGTATTGAATCGTTCTCCGTAATCTCCCGTCGCATGGAATGAAAATTCCACAAGACTCGTCGATCTGAGAGTCGCGTTTAAAATGTAACAGACAAAAGGTGCTGTGTCTCTTGCTCGACGTAGTACAATTTCTTTTCGTAACAATTCAAGATACAAATCCAAGATGGAAAAGAAAAGAACAAAAAGTATATAAGAGCAGCCTACTTTTTCGCTATTTGCTCGTCCACAAATTCGAGATAACTCGAGCCGACTTTCAAAAATGCTACTCCAGTGCCGATGCCAGCTAACGTACAACAGACCGGACTTGGTGGGACTATGGAACGTATCACTGCCCACAGTAAGACCGATCCCAGGCTCAATAATACCGCGCCAGTGGCACTGAAAAGTAAATACAACAAAAAATAATAAACAATTTGATTCAATTTCAAAGGGATATATATAATTTGTCCATAAGAGCATATATACATCTGCACAAGATTTAAGAGAATTTTTTAAAAATGTATATATCATTTTATAAGATACATTGAATTATCATAGCCTAATATTGTATAATCTCCTTGTATACTTTGCATTTATTAATAGAAATCAACATTCTATTAATAGAATTTATTAATAGAAATCAACATCTTTCTTGGAATTTAGTGATTAATAATATTATGCATATATACATTTCCCTTGGAGTTTTCTCTTCATAAATATTTAAAATTTTTTGATTGGATTCACATTAGAAGACAACATCAGTCCAAGGTCATAATTTTCAAAACTTCCAAGCAATGCAATTGATTAGAATATAATAACAATATGTGCTTTCCACTTAACAACAAATTAACTCAAGCGTCAATGTATCTTTGTTACTCACTGAATGGCAAGAAAAATAGAATGTTTATATATCAACTTGTGTCACCAAATCAAAAGAACTTATGATGTATACGCTCTTATGAGACTGATTGTACATGTCACCACCACAAGATCTCACCTGTACAGAATTCTTACAGACTGTGGTGCTGCCTTCATATGTTCACGTGTGTAGATGTATGAACCGGTACCGATCAGAGTGCCAGCCAGTAAAAAATTCGTAATGTCTCTCTTTGGAAATACTCTGAAAAACAAAACAAATACAGCGCTATTTATAATCTCTCTTTTGCTTGACATCATTCACATTCTGCGACTCATGTTAAAATCTTATGATACATTCTTCTGTCGCAATATTCACGTAAATTGCACAGAGTTACGTAATAAGAGAGAGAAAGAGCGACAAAAGAGGACTCGTCATCGTCGTGTTGAATTGAACGACGAAGTCGGAGCTTACTTGACGACGAGGCTCGGGTTCATGACATTGATGGACATCGAGGTGTACGAGACGGCGCCGAATGCCGGCGCGTAGAACTTGGCGATGTTGCACCGCGTGACCGGTCGCAGACCGAGCTTCTTCACGATCGTCGAGCAGCAACCGCCGTCGTTGCCGTTGCCGCTGCCGCCGGCGGCATCGCCGCCGCCGTTTCCTGTTCCGGACATTTTCCCCTTCGTTGTGTCGACGCGTTCTCTCGTGCCGCCTGTCACTGGAAAATTCCTTCCCCGGAGGAGTTACTACTTACTAGCTGTCGCCGCACACCAAGTGTCGTCGTCTCGAGTACTTTGGTCGGTAACCTTCGCATTCGCACGTACATACATACACACACGTACATAGTAAAACCATGCACACACACCAACGCATATAAGCGCGCGCCGACGAACACCGCGATAGCTGCGAAATATGCAGCAGTGCGCAGACGTGAAAAACATGGCGGCGGTAAAGTGGCGCTCTGCTGTATTGGCAGTTGGTTTGGTACTGATTGGGCGCGTTCAGCGGATTTTCAACAGTTGAAGGTGCATTCCACTTGACGTTTCGCAACGCTCATGGAATGAGATAACGTTCACTCAACTGTTAAATCTGCAGAACGTAGCCATTTTTGTTCGACATGGCAATGCAGACGATGGATGGCAAACGGTTCAATGGTCGATATTTCATGGATTGAAATTCTTATATTCTCTGTTCCCTATTCTTTTTATTCTGCGCATCTTAAAGCTGGTGAGTACTCAGCCAAAACTTCACGTTTTGTAATTATAGTAAAATTATGATGTTAATCAAATTTCAATTGAATCCATCAACGACTCCGGGTATTTCGAAATTTTAACAGTAAATATTTTTATATGAATTTCATGATTGATCCGTTCTTTGTTCCTGCATTAGATTTTACTAGAACTGTCTTCCTTATTTTCGATAAATATTGAACAAATACCTATAGGCCTCCCTACACGGTCAGTAATACTGAGTCAGTATGCATTAGGTTTTACAATCTTATACGATCAGGTATTATTAACAATATTTCACTTCAGTTTGACGTGATTTGACGTATATTATTATCTATGGCGACATGGATCTTAAGGAAAAAGCATGTATTTAAATCCAAATCATTGTTCTATTATTGTCAGTATTCTACGTCAATCCATTAATATTAACCATACACAATCAATAATATTGTCAGTATTCGTTGATACTGACAGTATTACTGACCGTGTACAGAGGCCCTTATGTCTTTGGAGATAAATAAATTTCCCCCCGTAATTTCAAATAGTGTTTTCGCTGCTTTAATCAATAGAACTCTTCCAAAATTTGATAGAGAACTCTAGAACTCTTCGGGGGGCAACCAGAACTCTGCTTATTTTTTCAAAATGTTGACAATGAGGGGCCAGCTTCACAGACGTCACAATTGAGCTTTAAAATAATTTTGTTGTCGAATTATCTCTTTAAAATACGTTTCTGAAAACCCCCAATCATGATTAATAACTTTATGTAAATACGTTATACATGTAAGCTGAAAATAAAATATACCATTCTTATTTTGCATCTGAGTAGCATGTGCTGGACATATCTGGCATGTGCATCCTACAGAATTACTCAATAAAGGATTATTTTCGATATTGTTATTCTGCTCCGCAGTGACTTGCTTATTACCTGCAGTTTCTAACGGTTCTATAAAATAATAAAATTGGGTTAATAAATTATAGACATGTAAGCCAAATATTCTTATTTAATAATCATAATAATTCCATTTTTTGTGTCGCGCACGAATCACTGCTGCGCGCAATCATTTGCAGCAGATCTCAACAAATAATTATTGTAAATAATAAAAATATAATGAAAAAAACATTATAAACTAATAAAATCCAAATGCGGACATCCAAAGGATGTTCCGAATAGGACATCCGTATGATGGACATCTCAAGAACGTCCATTTTATGTCCATGGACGTGCGGACATGATTTGGACTTAAAATGGACGTCCTTGGGATGTCCAGTGCTATATGGGAAAGATATATTTTAATACTTTAATTTTAAAATAATATGACCACATTGATATTATTTTTTCAGCCTCTTATGAAATGAAATCTTTGATTCATCAATCAAAATTTGATTAAAATCAAATTAAATGATTAATTTGTAATAATTCTGGCAATGATTTTATTTTTTGATTATACATGTATTTTATTCCAGTTTACTACTGTTTCGTACATTACGTATAAAAACTTAGTTCGGTATACAATAATTGTACATCGTTTTCCGCGTGTCGAGCAGCGTAGAGACTCAACAAATCTTGTTAAAATTTTCATTGGTTGTGTTTAACAGATTCAACTGTGTAGAACGGATTCGTGAACGCTCACTATTGGTATATTTTTTTAGATCATTCAGTAGCAGCGAGCGCTCACGGATATACTCCACAACAGTTGAGTCTGCTGAACGCAGATTGACTTTGAAGTAAATAGTGATAACGAGCGCATTTCAACAAGAGACAATAGCCGGCCTATACTAAGTTAGCCCCCCACTTTTTGAATTTACTTATTTTGAGAATTGTGCTGAATTGTGCTAGGTTTGTGCTAGGTTTGTGCTACATTGTGCTCGAATATTAATATCAAAATACGAAAAATACGTTAAAAAATTTTAAAAAAACCATATTTTAGGCCAGCCCCCACTTTGCGTTTTTTCAATTTTTAAGGTTGTGCTAGGTTGTGCTAATTTGTGCTAACATTGTGCTAAAGTGGTATTCAAAAATAATGACAACAACAAAAGATATGATAGAAAAACAATTTTTCACAAAACGGAATAAAAATAACATTCGTATCCGTCATTCAAATACAACAAAATTGCGTATCTGAATTGTGCTAGTCTAGCACAAGTCAGCACAACCGTTAGATTCACTGGCACAATGATATTAAGGGTACTTTATTCTTGAGCGCGACCGCTCGCGGAAGCATTTTTTGTTCAAAATTCGGGTTTACAACACTTCGATGTGAATGATACTGCATATCTGAGTTGTGCTAGCCATCATTCACATCAAAGCGTTGTAAGTCCGAATTTTGAACAAAAAATGCTTCCGCGAGCGGTCGCGTTCAAGAGTAAAGTACCCTTAATATCGTTGTGCCAGCGAATCTAACGGTTGTGCTGACTTGTGCTAGGCTAGCACAACTCAGATATGCAATATCATTCACATCAAAGCGTTGTAAATCCGAATTTTGAACAAAAAATGCTTTCGCGAGCGGTCGTGCTTAAGAGTAAAGTACCCTTAATATCGTTGTGCCAGCGAATCTAACGGTTGCGCTGACTTGTGCTAGGCTAGCACAATTCAGATATGCAATTTTGTGGTATTTGAATGACGGATACGAATGTTATTTTTATTCCGTTTTGTGAAAAATTGTTTTTCTATCATATCTTTTGTTGTTGTCATTATTTTTGAATACCACTTTAGCACAATGTAGCACAAACCTAGCACAATTCAGCACAATTCTCAAAATAAGTGAATTCAAAAAGTGGGGGGCTAACTTAGTATAGGTCATTAGCCTTCTTGAACTCGCGTATTGGCTGCGTTCAGCAGAGAAAGCAGCCACTTTGCAACTGTTGTAAAATTCTTCAGTATAAATGGTTTATACATTTAGATCCATAAAGAATCAAAAACAAGAACCAACCGTATTCAAGAATTTTACAACAGTTGCAAAGTAACAGCTAACCTTTCCTGAAAACTATATGTACCAAGCCAATCAGCAAGCGATTCGGATCACGTGTCATCTCAAGAGGTCTTTTCTTCTTCTTCTTCTTCTTGATTATTAGCCAGGCAGCCACTCCAGGCTGGAACTAGGCCATTGAGGTCTGCTGTTCTAGTTATTAGTCTCGTGAAGGTTGTCCGCTTGATGTGAAATGTGATTTGCGCGCGCTAGGTCCCCTTCTTCATTCCGGACGCCTGCGGCCACCCAGCGATAAACGGCGCGCCATGGGAGAGGGAGGAGGGGCAAAAATTAGAAAAATAGCTTATTGGCCTTCATATAAGCCAAGAGCAGGCTGCAGAGTTTGGAGGAAGAGGAAGATAGGGCAGGGAGAAGGGTGAGGGGCGAGCAAGAGGTCTTTTAATTTTGGAAAAACAAACTCTATTTCACGAGGAAGAAAAAGAAAAAATTAAAAATAATAAGTCTTCCGTTCAGCAATTAGCTACTCTCAAATTTAATCAAGTAATCAGCATTGATGAAACTGGTTCTTATGAACAGAATTCCTTCAATCGTTTCCAATCGGCACTTGTGAAGGGAAACGTGAAACCTCTGTATATACGCACGATTTCACCGTTTCCCATTTTGTAAGAGTTTATTTTCGGTGGATCCGATTCGCAAGCATTTAATTGTTAAAACTACTATCGTAATAACGGCTCCGATGAAGGACACGATACCGAAGACCACCAGTACTGCGAACCAATTCTTGAACGTGCCGATCCTGCTATCGCAATCGTCACTATCGGTGTTGTTGAGATTGAGAGCCGACAGGTTGACTGGCCTCAGGGAGATTGATTTGTATTTGCGCTTCGCGACGGTAGAGTTCCGCTCTTTTCTGATGAATCGGTAGGATATAGCATAAGTGAATCCCTGCCCATCATGAGACCCTTTGGCGCTGTAGTACTGGATCAATAATTCGTTTCCGCTGGACGTCAAAGGTATTTGGATATTGTTGATGTCCCAGTGAGACGCGTCACAATAGGACCATAGCAAGAAACTATCGTTTACCTATGAATTGTAAATTCATAAAATATAACTGCTTCGTAGAAATAAAGAAAATTAGAAATTTAATCTTCGAGTCAATTTTGTAAAATCTTCGAATTCCTTTTTATCATTTTTCCTTCATCAATTTTTATATTTTTAGCAATTAAATTTTATTTAAAATATTAATAATCAAAATATGTATAACTGCGTACTCTGTAAACGGAGTTTAACATAATAAAAAACATTCAACGAAGATAAAATCTGGTGAAATGATCAATCCTTATCAATTCGTGCACTCAGAAAAGGTTTCCGTATCCAATGTCATTATTCTTTAATTTATCATAAAATAGAACCAATATAAGGACAATCTTATTTCTTATTTTGTCAGAGGAAATTTTACTCTTCCATGGAAAATTCTTAAATTCTCGAATATTTATTTTAAATGTAAAAATATACAATACAACTTAAATTATGTGTGTTATTTTTATCTCAAGACAAATTGATTTTATTATATTCGAGGGAGGAAACATGAATTATTGATTCAATTTTAATGTTGTTTTTTTCTATCACATGTGTATAAGGGTAATTGTGATAAGAAAGTATTTTTTAAATATTTGTTTATAAACGTCAAGAGAA